CCTGCTGCCCATGCCGCTGGGGAGCCAGCCCAGGCTGTGGGGGGTTCCCGGCCAGCTCCTCACCCCCAGGGCCTTCTCTGCAGGGCTGCTTGGTCTCCATCCACTCTTCCCCAGCCTGTGTTTGTGCTTGGAATTGCCCTGACCCAGGTGGAAGACTTGGATAGATGCTGGAAACATTAGTTCTCCAGGCAACAGAAATGTTGCCTTTTTCCCCAGCAGCACAGCCCCAGGCAGAGCCTCCTGGAGAAGTCACCTCCTCCACCTGCTCCTGCAGCTCTGCAGCAGGTCAGTGCGCAGCTGCCAAGAGAAGGGAGCTGCAGAAACCTCCAGTGAGACACAGCTTCTCCAGGGGACCAGTGGGGTGCTGAGGGGGCACATGGGCACTCATGGCCAGGGCAGGACAGAGCCCAGGCATGAAATCCATCCTGTAGCACCTTGTGAAGGGCTCCCCAGGTCACCCGTGAAGGTTGGGTGGTGGGGACCCACCGAGGAATTGCTCCCTTGGTGACATTTGTACACTCCAGGCAAAGGAGGCACCACTGTGGGTTGCCTTAGCACTTTAAAAATAGTTCACAGGCCTGTGTAGCTCCTCCAGCTTCTCTCCTGGTGGATCTTTAACCTTTGCTTTCCTGTTGCAACCTCAGTGTGAAGCTGCAGAGCAAACAGGGAGGTGAGGTGGTACAGGCCACCCTGCCAAACCCACCCCTGGAGAGCAGGGGCAGAAGGCAGAGCCCAGATAAGGAGCAACTGTGAGCTGCTGGAAGGTGGTGCTGGCTGCACAAAGCCTTCAGGATGATCAGAGCCCTCAACTGCAGCCACTCAGGAGGCAGATTTGGGTCTAGAAAGACCCTGCTTTGGCATCTCCTGAGTAAAATGCCCAATGAAAGGCAGAGCTCTTCTGGTGCTATCCCCTCCAGCTACTCAGCCTGGGTGAGATATGGACAAGAGCTTAGGAACTGATGGACACCCCAGCCCTGCTCTAGCTTGCTGGACCCTCAGAGCTGCAGGCTGGCCATCTACCAGGGCTTCCCAGTGAGCTGGTAGTGCCCAGGTTCCTCACCCCTCCCTCTCAGAGACCCAACCACAAGGCTGGTCACATTTCCATGAGCTCCCAGGAGGACAGGTTGGGTTGGGCTGGCAGGTCTCATGTCTGTGGCCAGCAGCAGTTGTCACTCACCATCTACCTGACCCGTCTTGATGACCAGCAGCAGGATCTTGTACATGAGAAGCTGCTTTGAGAGCAAAGTTCTGGGACTTGTGCTTTGCAGTGTAGAACATAAAATTCTACAGTGTTCTGGGGAGCATGAGGATTGCAGGAGGTCCAGCCACAGGCAAGGCAGCTGGGCAGGAGATACCTGCCCAGGGTTTCCAGCAGAGGCATTAGCTCCCACACCTGGGACATGCCAGCAGAGCAAGGGACCCACCAGCCAGATCTCTAGCAAAGTCACACCACAGCACAAGGGAACCAAGACCACCTCCTCACACCATGAGAGAAGCAGGACCAACCACTTCCCAGGGCTCCCAGCTGTGGAAAGCTGCCTGAACCAAGCATGAACTGCACCTGGAGGTGGAGCTCAAGGGGAAGGGACCAAAGAACCTACCCCAAGGACCTGGCTGGTCATGGCACGGGGACTCACTGACAGCATGTGTGCAGGAGATGATGGGGAATACCAGAAAGAAAACCTCAGTTCTATTAAAAAACCACAAAGGAGCTGCTGGATGGGAGGCTTTGGAGAAGGAAAAACTTTCAAGCTGACTATTTATTCACCCCAATGAGAACAAATTTTTCCATGTTCACAAACCCAGAGAGTCTCCTTCCCCATGCCACACCTAAAGAAAAAATAAAGAGGCAGGGAATAGAAGATTTCTTGCAGAAATGCCCATTTTGACAAACACCAGCTTTAATATACAGCCGTGGGAAACTCAGAAGTAACTCAGCCTCACAACAAAGACAATTCCTGACAACATTCCTGGTGTTTCCCAGGAGGATCATTTCCAAATAGAACAGATTGTTTGAAAAAAAAAAAAAAAAAACAAACAACCCAGACCCCAAGAAGGGCTGGAGGGGACTTTGATTCCTCATTCCCTCCCTGTTTCAGGCTGCCCACAAAGCCACACTGTGCCAGCAGATCCCCATCCCTGCCTGCAGCCCTGCAACTGCTCTGCTTGCCTGGCTTATCTTCTGCCTTGGCACAGAGAAGCACAGGATGGTTTGAGTGGGAAAGGACTTTAAAGATCATCTAGTTCCAGCCCCCTGCCATGGGCAGGGACACCTCCCACCAACCCATGTTGCTCAGAGCCCCATCCAGCCTGGGCTTGAACACATCCAGGGATGGGGCATCCACAGCTTCCTTGGTCAACTCGTTCCCCTGCAGCAGGTGGGAGATGAGAGGAGCTGTGCTGGTTTTGTCTGGGATAGAGTTCATTTTCATGGGACACCCAGAATAGACTCAGGAGTGCACAAGAGGACCACAAGCCCACACAATGTGTGCAGCTGCCACTCCAAAGCAGCCACTCACTCCTTCCCACCTTATCATAGAATGGTTTGGCTTGGAAGGGACATTTGAAGGTCATCTTCTCCTGTCCCAACAGGTCCTGCTAAAAAGTCTGTCCCCAGCTTTCTTCCAGGCTCCTTGAAGCCCTGGCAGCCCCCAGCAGGTCTCCCCAGCTGGAGCCTTCTCCTCGGTGGCTGCCCCAGCCCACCTCTCTCCTGCTGGGCTCCCAGCAGAGGGGTTCCCCCCTCGGGGCATTGCTGGGGCTCCTGACTCCACTCCAACAGGTCCATGTCTTCCTTGTGCTTCCCTGTCCCAGTGTTGATTCCTCTGGAATGAAGGACCAGTAATAAAGGTGATACTAAATCCAGGTTTCTTTTTTGCTGCCCAGTCAACAACAGCAACTACTGTTCCAGAAGAGCAACCCAACATCTCATCCCAGGCTTGGAGAAACAACCTCCACCCACAGCCACAGAGCTTGTGCCACTTCCTTGTGCAGTGCCATCACCAAGTCACCAAGGATGCCACCACTCCAGACGATACTACTGTGCTTTAATGTTTTAGAGACAAGAGACTTCCACATGGCACAAGAGCGGGCTGCTTGTACTATACACATACACACTGGGTGTAGTTAAAGCTCGTGTATTTGAGCAACACAAACGCTCAAAAAAATGCACCAAAAGTCTCACAACAAAAAAGTGAACAAATTCCAAGGCCACAAGTAGAGAGAGGTATGTTCAAAGGACTGCAGGTCACATGGAAATAAAAAAACAGTGGTGGTGCAATGCAAACTTTATCCCAAAGAGAGATAAGTGGTTAAAACACAACTCTCTCACCACCTCAGGAGCAAGACAGTTTTACAGACAATTTCCAGACAAAAAAAAAAAACAAGCAAAGAAACAAGTGCACTAGTGTGTGCCCCTTTGGTCCTCAAATTCTCCTTCCAGTTGAAGGAGCTTTGAGCTTTTTTTGAGCTAAAAAGTTTTACTCTGAACTTCAGACAAGAAAGATTTTAAGGCTTTTCAGCTGGGTATTTGAAACATCTACTGGACTGAGGAGCAGCAATATCTGCTCTCCATCACTGAAAGAAAACAGATGCCACAGAGTTAGTGTAGTTTTTAAATGTGCAACACAGTTTACTCCAGCAGAGACTTTTCTAGCACCTAACTCCACAGAATCCAGGACAGAGAACATGACAAAAGAGTTCTCCAGTGATGCTGTGAACGTCACCCAGGTAACACTGGTGGACTTAAACACATGAGGTGGTTGTTCCTGAAAGTTCTTCAGGCCCAGTGGAAATCTGACTGGATGTGATTTTCATTGTTTCCAACACTGGTTGAAGGAGAGACAGGAATGTTGGAGCTTACCAGAGCAGGAACAGCCTTTTTTAACTTTTGCCTCCTGTGCTTAGTTTAAGGAGAGTGGTTTTCATTTCTGCTGCATGTTTTCCCAATTAAGAGTTACAAAACATCCAGTTTTTAATTATAACAAAGACGTTCAGCCAAGTCCAGCCGACTGAAACTCCTTGTACCAATACTGCCACATACAGAGGTTGCCACATACACAGGAAAAAATAGGGTTTAATTAATTTTGATGGCCCTGGAAATGCTTTTCTCAACTGCAAACTTCTCTTACAAAAGAAGCTGTCCTCACTTCAGGTTACTTTGCCCTGGAATGATCTGCTGGCAGGCAGGAGAGGTACCACGTGCTGTATTCAGGATTTCAGTGCTCACCTTTGGTTCAACACTTATGAGATGCAAATCTTGAAATGCTTGAAGAGAAATCCTCATTTTCTGATTATGAGACTAATTTCATCTTCCCAGTCTAACCCACAGATATCCAAAAAGGAAAGATCAAGGTATAAATAGCATTAAAAACCTCTTTGGGTGTCTCAGCACTTTGCAGACAGACTCTGGGGTTTTTTTTTCTTCCCCCCTATTAAAGTTTGCTTAACAATAGTAAGAAACTGACAGCTGAAGTGGTCAAACATCCTGAGGCACAGAGAAATAGGTACATAAACCCCTTTATATTGAGATAAAACCAAGCCCCAAATAATTTAGGAGTTAATCCCTCCCTGCATCTTAAAAGGCCAGGAAAAGTGTGGTCTAAATTTCTCAAAAAAAAAAAAACACACAAAAAAAGGAGGATTAATACTTGCAAGGATATAAACCACCACCAGAGGGAACAGCTCAAAGAGGTATAATACACACAACTGAAACAGCCACTGCAAGACTTGTAATCAGATAGAGAATTCAGGACTATCCTTTCCAGCAGAGGTACAGGATTGGCAGCATAAGAGGTCCTACAAGGAGCCACAGCCTTGAAGTTGTTTCCTGTGCTGCTCCATATTTCCTCAAATAACTTCCATCCATAGCCATTTCACTCCCACCTTTCTCCCAAGAGCAGTATATTCTGCACTGGGGATGGAAAACCATCCCCAAAACCCTGCTGGGAGCTGGTGCCATCAGCACCACTGGAAATCCAGGAGGATCCCACCTCAGGGCTCCATTTCCCATCAGAAGGCTTTAACTGCACAAAGACTAGGATACCAATTCACAAAGACTTAGTTTAGAAGTGAGATGGAGGAACGAGTAAGAACAGACAGTGACACTGGACAGAACAAGCTCCAGAGTGTGTTCAGAGAGTGACAGTTTCAGCTCCTGATGAGTGTCAAGAACTCCTCACGGGTCTTTGGGTCTTCCCGGAACACCCCCAGCATGGTGCTGGTGACTGTTTTACTGTTCATTTTCTGTACCCCACGCATCACCATGCACATGTGCCTAGAAGAAATGAGAGGCAAGTCAATAAATCTGCCACACTCAAAAGAAGCAAACCCACTGAGATGTTTCTTAAATATAGTCACATGAAATTCTGGGGAAAAACACTCTGGGTATGGAGGCTTTTTCATCTGTCAGGAGTACCTCAGCTGTCCTCCATGGAAAAGTCAAATTCCCAGCCCAAGAGAGGATGGTTTACTCTGTTATCAATCCTTTAAAATATTACAGCTTGTTGAGCCTGGAGCAAAGGAGGCTCAGGGGAGACCTTCTGGCTCTGCACAGCTCCTGACAGGAGCCTGGAGCCAGGGGGGGGGGGGGCGGGGCGGGCTCTGCTCCCAAGGAACAAGCAACAAAACAAGAGGAAATGGCCTCAAATTGCACCAGGGGAGGCTTAGGTTGGATATTAGGAACAATTTCTTCCCTGAAAAGGGTTGCCCAGGGCTGTGCCAGGCTGCCCAGGGCAGTGGTGGAGTCCCCACCCCTGGAGGGGTTTCCAAGCCGTGGAGATGTGGTGTGAGGGACACGGGGCAGTGGGGACCTGGCAGTGCTGGGGAATGGTTGAACTTGATGATCTTCAAGGTCCTTTCCATCCATAATGACTCTATGATTCTCTCCTCTGATCCTAGGAAAATCCCACCTTTCCAAGGGGCATTCTGATCACTCTGCCTCAGACAAGCACAGCACAGCTACCAGAGCCAAGGAGGCAGCTCACCTCCACTCTGCAGCACAGGCTGGGACCACCCCAGCCCAGAGAGCACCCAGAACAGCTCAGAGGGACTTACGTAGCTTCAACGACCACTCCAACTCCAGCAGGCTGTAAGGCTTCTGTGATGGCAACTGCAATCTGTTTGGTAAGGCGCTCCTGGACTGAGAGAACAACAGGGAGCTCAGGCACAGCCTGAAACCCAGCTGTGCACCTCCACTACCTGGAGAGCAGCACTGCACCCATCCTTCCAAGTGTGCCTGCTCCCATCACCTCCCACCCTCCCTGCTCTTCCTAAAGCCATTTTATTCAGCTCATCACCTTATATTTTGTACCCTCCATTATTCATCCCTTACACAATTCCTCTTTAAGGAAATGGAGATAAATAAGCCAATTAAGAGAGTCTGTCCTGCAAAGCTTTACCTCCTGCAGCTCTAGCACCCTGTACTCAGTCTGACACTGAACAGCTACCAAGACTTCTGTTGCCAAAACCAGGCCAAATTTAACTGCAGGACTATGAGAGCAGCTGAGCCCAACCCAAAGCCTCAGATCCTGCAGCTTCCTCATTTCTGGGGGCATCAGGCAGGCAGCCCATAACATGGCAGCTCCTGCTTCACCTCTTCAGACAATTCCTGAAGGCACCCCTCAAATTATCTGTAGGAGAGTTCATCTCCAGCAGCATCCAGCTAGTTGAGTTCCTCCAGGCAGCTATATCCTGTAGCACATTTATCCTCTGAATCAGTCACTGCCTACATCTACTCACAGGCAGATTTCAGCCTCTGCATTTCCAGGGAAAGGTAAGTAAGAGGACAGGTGAGGCAACTGTTCCAGAACACAGCACTTGTCTTCCCACTAAAACCTGCACAGAAATAGTCCACCTACAACTACCAGTATCCTGAGCTGGGGAGGTCTGCACACAAACCCAAAAATTCATCTGTTTACCTTGTAATCTTCTACTGTATATTTCCACGATCCTGAAGGAGAAAGGAAAAACAATTTTATTCATTCTCATCTGGCCATTGTTTGATTTTCACCATGAACTTGCCCTAGACCACTGTGAGGATCCACGTCCTTCCTGGAAATGCACAGGACACCGTGCTGCTGCTCAGCCCTGGCTGGTGTTGCTGTGCTAAGGGAAGTCCTTGAGCACTGTTTAGTGACAGGTTCCCCCCCCACCTGCCACCCCAGGGAATATTTCAGGGGAAAACTTGTCAATTCTCCTTAAAGCTTCTTCTGTTGGCTGTTACTTTTGAATTCCTTGTACCAACCCCCACCTACATCACACAGTTGCAAGGGAATCTGTGCCCAAAGGCTCCCTGAAAGCTCATCCCTGAACTGAGGTCAGACTGCCTCCTTTTGATTCAATCTAAACCAAAAGCTGGTTTAAGGACAATTCAGACACTAGGATTCCCTGAAGGCTACTGAAATTGGGCAAGAGATGGTTTGGATTTTTGCATTTAACCACAAATAGAACTAAGAACAATAAGAATTGTTTTAAATAAAAACATACTCTCCACTCATATGTCACACCATCCTTCAAATGTTAAATCCCCTTAATGCTGCCCTCCAACAAGACTTCAAACATAAGCCATCTGTGGTGCAATGCAGGTGATACCACCACCACTTATGGCTTCAGTGCTAGGATCCACACAGTTAAGAGAAGTCTTGAACTGCTCTGGAACAAAATGGGTTATTCATGCTAACCCCCAAAGCTTAATTACACATCGAGCAGCCAGGTAAAGAAGCTGCTCTCCAAATCTCCAGCACCCATCTGGTCAGGCTAGACAAGAAACAGAGTGGCTGGCAGCCTGAGGCATGAAGGAATATTTCTGACAATGAGACTTGCCTGTTGTTTTGGAGACAGAATTATGTAGAAATGCTCCTCCAGAAATGGCACAGTTGCCTTATAGCTACTCTAAACAAAGCAACATAATATTTAGATTAAATATATGGCTAGGAAAACAGCTGATGCTCAGATATCTTCACACTAGCATTGCTCAGAAGTCCTATAAGCACATTCACATAAAAACAGTTACCTGCATTAGGATTTTCAAGCCTGAGCTTAAAATCCAAAGAAAGATGTTTGTTTACTGAATGCAGGTCATCCACAACTAGAGAAACTCCCCACAGTAGACTGATCCTATTACAACAGATTAACCCTGCAGCACCAACAGCCTCACAAAGCTTTGCTTCAACACTGGTTGCATTATATAGGGCAGGAAAGAAGCACTATTTGACCCACCAGGCTTTGTGGTAAGTGCTCAAAAGCAGTTGAGGACCAAGAAGAATTTGTTACACAAGGTTCTAATCTCTTCATCGTGGCAGTATCTGGGACTTTTAGCCTAACTTGAAAAAAAAGGCAAGACTTAACCTTTCAGTCACAGCACAGGAAGCCTTGCACATGTTCCTGCCTGCTTCTAGGCTGAGAATAAACAGCAGAAAAATTGTGCTTTTGGCACCATGTTGCTAGAAATGCATTTTTAAAAACAGTTTTGAGCTCCTTTTTCCATCTCCAACTCAGAGGTAACTAGAGACCAGAGGAAGAACAAGTGAACTGATGTGTATTTCAAATGTGATCCTGAGCTCTGCATCCAAGCCCTGCAGAAATGAAACCAACTGCCAAAGAGAGTCTCCTCAGGAAGGAGGTTTGTCTTCAGAAGTCCAACTCAAAAAAAAACACCAGCCCTGCACCACTTAAAAAAGTCCAAGCACACAAGTGTCAGCCAGCACACAACACAAGTGATGAACTGCCACACAGACCTTCTTGATCTCTACAGCCCCCTGACAGGAGGCTGGAGTGAGGTGGGGGTTGGTCTCTTCTCCCAAGGAACTAGCAGAAGAACAAGGGGCAATTAGCTGAAGCTGCACCAGGGGAAGCTTTGATTGGATATGAGGAAGAACTTCTTGGCTGACAGTGGTGAGGAATTGGCCCAGGCTGCCCAAGGAGATGGTCAAGTCCCCATCCCTGGAGGGGTTCAAAAAAACATGTGGATGTGGCACTCTGGGACATGGTGTAGTGGTCATGGTAGTGTTGGGTTGACAATTGGACTTCATTTTGAGGTCTTTTCCAACCTTAATGATTCTACAATTTCCTGTAATATGAGGTTATGTTAAAGATGTGACCTCCAAGGGCCCTTCCACTTCCAAACCAAATTCACTTGTGAGCAGAACAGAGCTGACTGACTTTAAAGCATTTCAGAGTCATATCCTACACACTTCTTACCCCCTAAGACAACCCAGCAGGCACACAGCTTTACAAGGCTAATTCTCATTAGTATTATTGGAACTACAGCAAGATTAACAGATGTATCAGGGGAAGCACAAGCAAAAACCTATGCAGGCTTTCTGAACTGCAGCCAGCTTCTTAGATTTGTTACTCAAAAGAAACCCTCCTGCTCTGGTCCCCAGTAAGCTGCTTATTGAAGGGATCCACCACCCCCCTTCCTCACCAGAACTAAAATGTGTCACTTTACAACAAGATGGAGTGCAATGACTGATCCAAGGGCCCGTGCTGAGAAAAAAGCTATTTTACATGACAAATGGATTCCTCAAGTGTACCATAATTGCTTTGTTTCTTAGGCTGAGCCTCACCTATAAAATCTACCCCACAGTGCTCTCAGCTGGTCATGAAAGAAAGAAATGTTAAATTTGCCTGGAGAGTCAGCTAACAGATTAAAGCTTTAGATTCACTTTCTATCCATGGAAAGTGTTCACTGGCAGTTTGGAGTTTGGGATTTTTATCAGTCGAAATACACACAAGTAGTAAATAGCTAGAGATCCCCACTATTTTCTTTTACAGCCTGCCTTAGAAAAGGACCAAATTCTGTTTTCTTGCTTCTCTGCTCCCTGCAGACACTGATGCTTTGGATGGACACACAAAAGTATTACAGCTCTACTACAGCCAACTGCTGTGAATTCAGAGCTCTACAACTCCTCTGTCCTCTCCACAAAAAAACAAACCTAATGCTGAGGATTGGTCTAAATCCAAATCCAGGACACAAAGTGGGCTGAGCTTTACAGGGGAACCAGATTAGAAAGATTAGCACAGTTAGCACAGCTTGGAATCCTTTTTACAAATTAGCATCACTTTCATTACATTAACACTTACCTAGCAAGCTTGCTGAGGCCAAGTACTTGTTTGTTAGGAAGATAGCCAATATGTACCTAGACAGAGGAGAAGAAGCCATTAACAGAGTCAAACCCACCCTTCCCAACACATGAAACTCATGCAGAGAGAATGAGATGTGCATTTGCCCCAGAACTAACTCTGGAATGGTCCAGAACTCTTAGCATGTGGGAGGAACATGCCACCATGCAAGCTTCAAAAAAACAACTGTGGAGCTACTGGAGCCTGTAAATGCCTGGTGAGGTCAGTGTCCTGGTGAAGAATAGGCAAGTTGTCTGAGGGGGAGAAAAATCACAACTCTTCTAGTCAAGGCTTATGTTCCAAGTCTCAGGAATGCTACAAAACACTAGGACATTTGGGTGCAAAAAGCAGCCTACTACTCAGCACAGCACTGTTTGTCTAAAGCACACTTCTCTCTCAAGACCTAAAATGGATTTTGGGGGGCAGGAGGGAGAGGGACTGCACCTCATTCCCAGAGAAAGTTGGGATAGCAAGAAGTACTTCACCACCCAAATTTGGCTGCACTTTTTTCCTGCTTTGACAGTACCACAGATCACTGTGGTATTAAGCCAGCTTCCATCCTGCTCAAATATGGATTTGTTGAACATCCACACTGAACAGAGTTGCACTAAGTGGGGATAAGTTCTTTGGTAGGAACGTGCTCAGATACAAGGGCAGGGGGAAGGCATTTAGCTTGTTTTCAGAAAGCAACACAAGCTACTCAGTTCTAGTGGGTTTAGAGTCGTAACAGATTATCCAACAGCATTTGAGTCACTGTACCAGAGACTTGAAAAATAGCCAAGATATAGTAGGGGAGTGTCAGCATAGGATTCTCTTAGTGCTTTGCCTGGAGGCCCCATCTCAGAATCCTGTATTGCTGTACCTGCAGTCAGAGGTACTACAGTGCACCTAATTACCTGGCTAACTTGCTCATTCCTATCACTTCTGTTGGGTAATCAACCCACTGACACCTGAAAAGACACGAAACATTCCAAAGTGAGAGACAACTTAGAAATAAGTGTCGAGTCCTGTTCCCCATAGAGTATTTCTGTAAATTTCTTAATTTCAGTTAAGATAGAACTGCAAATACAAGACCTCCTGGTCAGTCTTTGCAGCCTGTTTGATGTACCCAACAGGAGAACTGTCAGTCTGAGAACATTTAGAGGCATAGCAAGTCATTTAGCAGACCATTATATGAGCTGAACCAATTGAGTGTTTGCAAGATTTCTCCCAGCCACACAGGCTGCACAGCTAGAGGGAAAAAAAAACCTGTATATATTGCCACAGGAGTAACAAAAAGAATACACAGTACATGTAATCAAAAGTAACAGGCAAAACAGAAAGCTTGCCCAGAAAAAGAAGTTACCTTGTTTCCCAGTATAAAATACTAACAGTCAGAAAAGAGCAGATGAAATTGAGTTGACCCAACCAAATAAACAGCTGGTTTCTGTTGAGGCATTTTATTTTTGGGAGAGTTTCCTTGGGGCTGATCAAATTTTATAGACAGCAAAAGCACTGGCTGCTCTCTGCCCTGTGAGCATTTTATGGTAGAACAGATACATCAGAGTGAGCCCCATCCTTCTGTGCTGACACAGGAGTGAAGAAGCAGAGATCTGCAGAAGGGACTCACCCACTCTGAGCTCTTCATCATGTTTCAGTGGCTAACTTCAGCATTTTAAATTATCTTTTTAAATTTGAACACCCCCTGAAACACTCATGGGGTCCCCAACCCAAGCAGCCTCCTGCTAGTCAGTTTTGACCACCCCCTCCCTGACTGGGCTTGCTTATTGAAGCCAGGGCTGCTGAGGAGAAGTTTGTTCCACTCACAAGGGGGTTCCCAAGATGAATGTGCACTAGACAGCTCTGAGCCAGAAGCCAGATCTGTGCCAGAGCCAGCATGCAGGGTGAGCTGGTTTAATATCAGGATGTCTGCCCTCCAGGCTTGCTGCTGCTTCACAAAGAGCTTTGATATAAAATGTCAGAAGCCATTAGATTACTTAGACCAGGAAAGGTTGAGCGTTACATTTTAGGAGCTTAAACACAAATAAAACTCACATTAAGGAGGTCTTCCTTATTTGTATTCCAAAGATTAACTTCTAGAATCCCAGCCATAAGCAGTAAGTACTTATAGCTTCAAAAGCTTTGCATTTACAGCTACAAAGTCTTTTACAAGTATTTTAGGTCTCCTATCATGTATTCCCACATTTATTTTGTGAGGAAGAGTTACCTTTCCAACAAATGGAACGAGGTGATGCTCACACAATGAGAACATGTCTATGTCCTTCACAATTACCATCTCATCATGATCTTCATCAAAGATGGCGTCATTCAGAACATCTGAAATTAAACATTGGCATTAAAAACAAACACAAGCATGGAAGGTTCTTCCAGCTGATAGCTGAGGAAGCCTGTAGCAAGAGCAGAGCTCTCAGAATTCCAGATTTTAGGGTTAAGATACAGGAGGCAAGTGAGGAGTAACACCACAAGTATGCTGTGGTTTGTGTGAGATCACACATTTGCCACGGTGCTATGCCAGGCTACCAGTGAGCTACAGCAGAAGCCAGCCTCAGCTCCAACACCAAACACTTCAACACCAGCATCACCATCTTCAGAGACACTCTTATTCCATCCCTGAGGCACACCAGCCAGCAGCTGTTTAGGAATACACAAAAGCAGGAGAGAGATCTGTATCCACAGACCAGAGAGAGTTCTGGTGTCCTGAACCAAAAGCAGGTATGCACATGCATGCTCCAGCCTCATTCCACACCTCAGGTAACAGAGAATTAAGGTGGAGAACCCACAAAGAGACAGCTCAGTAAGGAACTGAACATGCAGGGACACTTTGCTAGTCTCAGAGGTCAGCAGAACAGATCCTCAGATGATTTTCCAGATTTAGCAGTTCCATGGTGAGTCCCCAAGCAATCCTGACACAAGTTATGGTAGATCACTACAGCATCCACACAGACTGCAGGCAGCTGGACCGCACTGGGAGAGGTTAAAAGTAGAATAGTCTCAAGTTAAGAGACTGAGCCCTTTGAGGAACAAGAAAAAAGCTACATAGAAGAGATGAGGGACTAGTGAGAGAGAACTAGCTGTGCAGAAGAGCTGATGGTCAGAACAAGGAACTCTGCAAAGCCATACTGACTCCTTGGAGTTACTTTCAGGAACCAGAGTCACCTACAGCACAGCCAGAAGTAGAACCAGGGTGCTCAGGGCCTGCCCTGCTTCCTCCACAGAGCAGCTTAGCACCTGCAGTGGTGATACCAGAAGTCTAAGAGTTGTGTCTGCTGTACTTGCCTTTACACCTTCCCCTGCCGTGCATGTACACCCAAGGGCCAGCATCTGCTGTCGATAACATCTCATCATCATGGAGCATTTTAATTTCCTGTTTGCTATCAGCACTACACAGGTAACCCTGGAAACTGTGCACAAGATGTTCTGCCTGCGACGCGTGTCCTTTCCTGGGAAGGGCTGGCAGCCTGCAAGACAGCGAGGCTGAAACCCCAAAAGGCTTTTGGGGGGGTCAGAGCAAGGGTAGAGGCTGTGAAAGAGGTCAAGGAATGACTCCATAAAGCCACATGATTTTGTTCAAACTTCAGAGTTTAGTTTACAGCAAAAACGCTGCTGGAGAGGATTTTGATGACATGGGGAGCATTGTGCAATTCACCCAGGAGCAGTCAGACTCCAAAGGAGAGCAGGCTGAGAGCAGAGGGAAGAAAAGACAGCCTGGGTGCCTTGCTCCTTCCCGCAGCACTCCGCAGACGTGCCATTTCTCCAGCACAAAGGCAAACACTGGTCTCATAAAACCCTCTCCTACCCAGTGTTATTAAAATAAAGCCCAAACGGATGCACAAAGCATCTCCAGAGTGCCTGCTGCTGTTATTAGCCCAGAGCTTGGCTCCCAGCAGCTCCGCCAGGCACGTATCAGAGGCCCCTGTCAGATAGGGATTCACGTCAGCTCGCTCACAGACTGTCCAGAACAGCCACCAATGGCCCCAGTCTCATTAGGAGTCACAGTGATGTGTGACAGAGCATACTGCCAAAGCTGCCACAGGAGCTATTCAGCTGCGAGGTCTCATATAGGTATAAGATATAAAAACATGTATAAAATGTATTACTAGAGCCTTACAAACTGTATTTAAGGACTCTAACCCTACTACTGGAACACTGAAGAGCCACGTTGCAACCTGAGACAGCATTAGCCCCCTTTTAAAGCTGGGGGAAGTGGTTAAGTGACCTGTGAAGTACCACTCAGGCAACTCAAGGAACAAAACCCATCCTTCTTACAGCTAAAACAGTCTAATAGGAAGACAAAGATCACCCATCCTTCTTGCCTGTCCCCTCTTAGCCTACAGCCCAGAGTCACAGCAGTTTGGCCAACATTCCCTCACAGTTTGGGAGGAAAGCCAACAGATGCATGCCTCAAGAACAAGCACAGAGCTGTGGGATGCTTCACACTTCACACAAGACAACGCTTGCCAGTTTTGTACCTTAGATTTAGTTACTAGCAGCAAGTTGCAGGCAGGTCACAGATGATAGCTGCTCAGCTGCATAGCCCAGGCAGTTGTGCCTGCAGCTGATTTTAAGGCAGCACCAGTCACTCCTTGAGAAGGAGAGACAGAGCTCATGAAGGAGGAGAAGGGCTTAGTGCAAGTCCCTCCAACAACCCCTTCAACTGATACAGGGAGACAAAGGTAAAACAAGATGCAAGACTGAAGGCCACTAGCTGAATAAACTGCCATGTTATTGAGAACCCCAGTCACCCCCATCTGGCTCCAGTCCCTCCTGCTCACACTTCTGTGTTCCTGTTCTGAAAACGAGCATAGCTGGAAGCTTGTCTATCCCAGTCCCTCCCTCTGAAATCCAAGCCCTGTCTTGACAAAAGAGTTAGTTAAGAGTATCTGCAGCAAGATGCTGGGCTGTGTCCCACCACAGCACTTGGTTTCAGTAACGACACAGGAGAGACTCATTTGGCAGACACTCCAACACTTCATGCAGGGATGCAATGCCTTTTTATCTAACTTGGTCTCTTTGGTTTTTTTTTTTTTTTCAGTCATTCAATTTGCAACAGCATCAATAAGAGCCCTAAAGCTTAGCCTGCATCCTGCAGCACGTGTTCTGGAGAACTTAGAGCTGAAAGGGCAGGAGTGGAAGATGGGGCCTCAAATTAACCAGGCCAGAAGCAAAACTGGAGACAAATTTGTGCCTCTTTTCCTGTTCTTTCATTCTAGGCCATACTGCCTGCTTCACTAGCTTGATTTCAGTTTTTTATTAGAGTTGTGCCCAAGTGCTGCCACCAAGCTCTGTCTATAACCAAAGGAAATCATAAATAACTCCAGTTTAGTTCTCTATCCCAGAAAAACAAAGGGAATTTATTGTGCAAGTCCTTAAGCCTCAACACATCTAGGCTGTTTTAAATGGAAACCTAAGATTCACATTAAAATATATGGCAGGAGTAGGGGTATAAGAATAAATTTCATGTGCAGTAAGGGTGCTCTCTAGATTATTCCAGCTGATTTTTCCTTCACCCCAGAGTTCAAATCCTGGTGTAGAAACTTCAGTGAGCTCTCAAAACAGAACTGCCACCTCTGCTACAAGTTAACTCTTGGAACAGAGCAGAATTGATTTTTTTCCCCCCACTTCTATCTTCAAAAAGAGTTGATAAAAGCAAAAACCAGAACTGGATGAAGACAGAATGAGAGAGACCTTTCAGGATTTTGCGTCAGAGCTAAGGAAAAAGACCTGTTGCTATAGAAACTATTTGCATGGCTTTAATGTGACAGGGGAAAGCAAAAGCACCTCTGGCAAGCAAAGAAGCCAGAGCCCACCCGGCAGCTGGCTGAGCAGTTGAAGGGAATGAAGGATGGCAGCTCTGCAGAGCAGCACTGCATCAGCTCCACAGCGCTTCAGATGTCCCATTTTTACCCTGCCTGGGAGACAGAAGACTGAAGTGATGGAGGTTGTTCTCACTAGGACTTGAAGTACTTCCCCGTGGTGTTCTGCTGCCTCGCTGCTCCACTTCAGAGAGCAGCCAGACAGGATTGTTCAGTGTCAGTAAGAGCAGCCTCACAGACTCCCCAGTTCTGTTCCTTGAGCTCATCCATCCTGGCAGGGACATGAGGCACAGAGTTCTCCTGATGCCCCAGCCTGTCCTCACCAACAGACCCATGCTCTCCATGGTGACTTATGGGATCTGTGAGTCACAGCCGGCAACGGAGGCCATCACAGGAAAGGGTTCAGGCCAAGGGAGGCAGATGTCCTGTGAGGGCAGTGGGGCAAGTGGCACCACATCAATACCCATCAGCTCAAACAAAGTGCAGGCTGAGGTCAGGTACCTTCTGCTCTCCCAGGAACACAAACTGAGTTACAGTAAAACCAAGGGCAGGAGACCTTGCCTGACCTAGGAACAGGTTGTAGTCTGGAGGACACTCCAAAACAGCAGCTCCATGAGCCAGAGACCAAAGGCCAACCATTCAGTACTGCAGAATCAGCTGGGGTATGCTGGCAGACACCCTTGTCTTTCTGCAGAGGACAGTGATGACTGGCAGAGCAGGAGCCATGAGCTAACAGCTGAATGTACAGTAGGGAAACCAAGATTACAGGGTTAGAATTCAATCTGGACAGACACTGTTGTAAAGACCTTTCAGTTGCTGCTGAAGATGTAGAGTCAAAACTGAAATTTATTTACTCATGTGATGACACTACAGGTAACTGCAGTTAGAGAAGATACTCCAGTCAAGAAACAAAATTATTGCAACCTTTCAGTATTAAAAAGATACAATGCATTTATTATGCATACAGAGAAGATAACCAGGCTGCAAACACACTCACCCATATAAAGAGTTTGTAACACTGCAGAAAGTTAATGGCTCTAGAGAGAGACAGCCTAAGATGCCACTTTACTGTTTATATGAACCAAGTTCAAAAGCTGCAGAGAAAATTAAATGAGTACTGTGTGACTTCCTTGCTGTAACAGTCTTGCCTAACAAGAACCAAGGAAAACCTCAGAAACAAAAGAATCTACAAGTTTATAACTAATTTCAGATTTCATCACCACCACACCAAAGGGCTACAAACAGCCATTCAACTTCAGACAGGACCATTTGCTTCAGAAGCAAAGCTTAATTCCTCAGTGACCAGATGAGAGGTGAACCAGATGTGTAACTTCAGGCAGATTTCATAGAAGGAAAGAAAGAAAAAGCTTTATGGCTGTTCAGCTAATTCTGAACATCATTTGTACAGATTTGTTTACTTTCCTATGAGACACTTCCCCATTGCAGTGAGGGACTAAAGTTTATGAATAAGAGATGAGTTATTGCAGGTTCTCAGATGAGGCT